ATGTGAGAGTGGGAAAAAGTAGGAGAAAGGGACAACTCAGGAAATGCAGGACAAGACTGGATGAAATTAGGAACTAGAGAGGAATAAGCCTTGGGTTTCCTCTGAGGCAAAGCAGGACATGGCTTGTGAGTCGTTTATGGACTGTATGGCAGTGCCAGGTCAGATAATGTTGGCACTCACAGAGGTCACTGTCATGCCCAGGCATGGCAGTTCATTAGACAAGAGTCACAGGTCCAGGCCTAGAATTCTGGAGACCAGAACAGAAGTGAGAAATGTTCACACTTACAAGGAAAAAAATAGAAAATGTGAATGTTTATTCTTGGACCTAAAAAGGGCATTGCTTTTTATGTGAATGAACTAGTAGGAGGAAAAGAAGGGCGTGTGGGGGAGGCCGTATATTCTGTTGTGATCAAGAACTTGGAACTTGGAGTCAGATAAAAGTGAGTTCACATCTCAGCTGAAGCACTTCCGGAGCATGTGACCCTAGGTAAGACACTCTGCCACTCCCTGCTTGACTTTGTTCATGTGTAAGTTAAGGCAATGGTAATATTTTTACCAAATGGTTTTAAGAAATAAATAAGATATTGTTATAAAGCTTTCATAGAGCAAGACAGGAAGCTATCATTAAAGCTTATCTTTGTTTGTTCATTTTAATTACACACACTAAGTAGGAAAGTGGGAAGAATTGTGAATTTTCTAGCACAAACACTCCGTGATCTCTGCGAAATAGGAGCAAACCACTTGACAGGGCAGAGTTGTAAGGGCCACAGCTTTGGGAGAGAGGTGTCTTGAGGAAGAAGAGAAAATGACTAGGAACATATCAAAGGTTTGCTAGGCAGAGTCAAAGGCCCAGCTGAAGAAGGGCCTTTGTTTTTAATGTTGCTACCCTGAATAGTTAAAGTTATTTCTCCAGTATTAGGTGATAGGAGGAAGATCAAAGAGGGACACGCAGATGAGAGAGGTATCACTGGCAGAGAGGGTGGGTGGAGGGAGTTGTTGAAGTGACTGTTGAATCAGGACATCAAGCCTGGATGTGGAAGGAAGTGAAGCCAAGAAGGGCTTGAGAGACCAAAAGTCACAAAAGTCAGTGACGTCAATAATATCAGGATCAAACATAACAACAGAATGGAAACATCACAACGGTGAGGAAACCTCCGAAAGTGGGATTGTTGGATGAGAAGCAGAATTTAAACTGCAGAAGTGGAGAGGAGGTGAAGGAGTGAGGCCATGAAAATGCAAGAGACAGGGCAAAGTCGTGCACAGGGTGCTCACAGGGATGACACCACGAGATGACTAAGAAGGACAAAGTTCCAAGTGCAATAAATCTGAGCCCGCTGTCACGGGAATGAGTTTATGATGCAGATGAGAACATTTCAAGATTGACACCACTAGATGATGAGAAGACTTTGAAAACTCAGAATGCTTTTTACCCATAGGTTTCCTCTAGCTCTATATCATATGGAGTTTATAGGTAATTATGCAGAGTCTGAGGCTAACATGGGATTTGTAAAGGAAAAGCCACTATCTTCCTTATCCCTGGAGTCCCAGTGCCCAGCGAAGTGGCTCACATTGATTCAGAATAGGTGTTCAATAATTGTTTGTTGAATGATTCCGTGAAATCCCACATTCAGTCCAGATATGAGTCCATTAAACTGTTCATCACTTCCAAATCACAAACCAAAGACTGCATACCCATTTTAAAAAATACAAATCTTAATTGCTGTAAAAGTGGGCATTTTAAGACACCCAAGACTTCCTTCCAAATCACAAAAGCCAGTTGTATTTTGGTATTTTTCCTTCATTCATGAATTCAGCAAATACTAATTTGCTCAACGACAACTATGTGTGCCAGGCACTGTTCCATACCTTGGGAAAAACAGTAGAGGAAAAGGGAAATGAGGCCCTAGCTCAGGGAGCTTAATTCTAGTGGGGGAAACACAGACAGTCAGCATATAAAAATATATATGTTAATTTCAGGCAGGAGGAGGGCTGCAGTGAAATTAAAACAAGCAGTGGGATAGAGAGTAACCAGGAGTGCTTGCTGGAGCACAGCTCTTTCATATAAGACAGTCAGACAAGACCTCTGACAAGGTGACATTTAACTGGGACCTGATGGATAAGAAGGAGCTGGCCATGTGAAGATTAGGAAATATTCCAGACAAACAGGTGGGGTAAAGGACCTAAGGCAAGATCAAGTTTAACAGAGAAGGACAAAAGCAAAATCAATATGTCTGTCCTGGAGTCTACGTGCAAATTCGTACCTGTTTTAGCCTGAGTATGATCCCAGTATATATGCAATTTTTAGGATCTGCACATCAGTTAAGAACAAACTCTGGAGTGACACTGCTTGCATTTAAATCCTGGCCCCTCATGTTCTAGCTTTGTTCTAACCATTCTGGTATATTTTCTTACCTGTAACGTGGTAATAATCAGAATACCTACTTCATAAAGTTGTTAAGATTTAACTGAATTAAAAAGTTGTAAAGCACTTGGGGATGTGTTTGACCCATAAGAAGTGCTTGCTATGTTTTATATATATAAAATATAATGACTGCATTATATGGAGAAGATAATCCCTTTTGTTACATACTCTTAAAGATTATTTTGTTGATTCTGAGTATCACCTCATTTAAGTAACTCTCTAAGAAGCATGTTGCTTTTAATTTTTCTACATCATAAATCACTTGACAATGCACATCATTATCATGCTTTAAAATTTTCCACAATAGTAACCACCTGGATAGCACAGTGTGGGTAAACCAATAAAACCTTTTCATGGATCAAAATATGGGGCATTTAAAGGGCATGGCTCATCTTGATGGGTTTCTCGTGAAGTTACTACTAAATAACAAAGGAAAGGTGGGTGTGCTAGCAACATCTCTCTTGCCAGCTGAATTTATCCTGCAGAAAAGTTGTGCTTGGTTTATGCAATGTTTTGAACAAAAATTATTCAGTTGCCAAAAAACAAAATCACAATTTATCATCAAAAAATCCAGATTTCTGGCTTCTGACAAATAGTCTGTTTCTATTAAGCTAATACTGTGTTTCCCCAAAAATAACACCTACCCATAGAGTAAGCCCTAGCAGGATTTCTAAGCATTTGCACAATATAAGCCCTACCCCAAATATAAGACCTAGTGATGGGCGTGGCTACGCAGCATATCTGCACAACCCATGCATTTCCTTGCAGAGGAGTAAAGAAGATGAGCAACCCTTCTCATCTGCCCTATTGTGACAGCTACTCTCCCAGAGGTGACTGGAAAGGTGTGGGCAGCCCCACCAACAAGGTCCACTCCCCCTGTCAGGTCCCAGCCATCCTGTGCGTGCTGCAAGCTGAGGCTTTGAGGGGAAAGACTCCTCAGTGAAGTGAGGAGCGGGACCCTCCACTTTAGGTATTGTGTGTCCCCAGGGGGAAGAAGGAAAGCTGTGGCTGCCATTTTACTCAGCACTGTGGGCCTCTCTCACCCCCCACAAACACCAGGGGATAGGGGAAAAGCTTCAGCAAGCAGTCTCCTACTGAGTCCAGAGAAATCATTTCTGTTCTACTGTGCAGATTGGACCCAGTGCTCACTAATTCTCCAATAAATAAGCCAGCCCTGCTCATTTAATGAGAGCTCTATTGCTCCACATGAGAGATTGGGGCCAATGGTTCTAAAGGAAATAGAGTCGCAAGAAATTCAGGATGGGATTCAGGGTTTGGAGAGTTATGATGATGTCCCAGAAGAAGACAACTTAACTATATTTGAATAAATGTAGATTGTTTTATCGTACTTAAAAAAAAATATCATCCCCTGAAAATAAGCCCTAGAGTGTCTTCTTGAGGAAAAATAAATATAAGACCCTGTCTTATTTTGGGGGAAACATGGTAGAATTAGATAAAATAGTTATGAGGCAACAAATGTGGACACATAATTTCTTTTAATATTTTTACCATTCTTTCATTATTTCATGTTTTATCTTAAAGTTCATGTTAAAAGCATTGTCTAAAAATATCATAAGCCATGTGTATTAAAATTTTAAAGTATTCTATGGAAAATGACTTGAGAAATGTACTGAATTTATTTATAGAGAAACCTAGATAATTTATATATACAGAAACTTCTTGAAAAATAGTAATTTTCCAAACTGGTAAACTTTTTGTTTAATAATGGAGTTGTGAAAATTTACAGTTATATAAGTGCTATTCACTTGAATCAATTGAAAAGATGAAGCAGCAAATATAAGTGATATTCCTATTATTTGATTATTATGAATTATCAAAATAAAACAACTTTTAATTAATATTAACTTTGTAATTGTGTAGAAGAAAGCATACGTTATAATCTATTTGGTCTAAATTAAATGGATTAAAATTATACATATACTTATGCGTATAGTCTTAAAGTCTAAAATGTGAATATATTAAAGGCATAATTGACACAATAAATATTTATTGAGTTTATTAACATATGAAATAAAAAGCTACCAGAGGACTTTGAGATTAATTAATCCACCTGCTCAATTTTCTTAATGATATATGTAGCCAGAAAGATATATGTAACTTTTCTAACGTCACAAAGCTTAAACTCTGTAATAATTTTTTGCATTACATTATGATTTATTAATTTTTTCTTTTAAGTTTAATAAGTTTATGACTTAAAATGCTTTTATGTTATATTGGTGATTGAATAGCAAAATTACATATTATTGAGTAGCAGATTTAAAACTTTTATTTTTTTAGAATTACCAAAACACCATTTCAAAATATCAACAGTTTAAATATTAATTTTTCCTACTATCTACAATTAATGAAATAATTGTAAAAATAGACTTCTAATTTTAGATGGTTAAAATTATAGAGTCTCAAATGAAAATTTATACAAATTGTGTTTTCATTGGTGGAGAAAAAAGGCTTTATATCATAAATATGTATAGCTACTAACTCTAAAAAAATCTTATTTTCTCTGACATGAATCTCCAATGTTGTATGCTTTTTGTTCTTATTTCATTTTTGTTTACAGAAAACTGGGCACAAACCAGAAAGTGTGGATTTGCATGGAGCACATATTGAATGGACCACAGAAAAATCAAGCAGAAAGAATGTCTTTCAGGTGAGAATGTAACATATATTCAATTTATTCCTATTTCCTCTAAATCAGAGCTCTCTTGGGTAATCAGAATAAGACTACCTTCTTTTGATGTGTTCATGTGCAAGAACTAGTTTTCTGAAGGCCATTATGAAAAACTGACTTGTTGAATCTTTGGTTTGTTTTGTTGTTTTCCCCTGGTGACTGGTTGCTATCTAAACACAAAATATCTGTTGTGTGTTGATCAGTTTTATACACAAAAGTTGTTGAATTTTGCAATGTACTTGATTGTGGTTTGATTGTGTGTGGGGTTCAAACATAGAATGCTTGACAAATAGATTTAATATAGAATTTTCAGATATACGCAAATTAGCAGTCACTAATAATAAGCTATTTTTATTCATGGACACTCCTGCCTCCAGTCATTAATTACATTCATCAGTGTAACTTATGGGGATGGATAGGGCTAAACAGCTATAAAAAAATGAATCCTTTCATATTGCATACTTTAATTTTTGGAAAAGATAACTCACGATTGTGATTAATAATGACAATCATATACCATTGAATAGAAAGAACCAGATGAAATCCATGAAAGAGAAGAAATTGGAAAATATGTCATGTTACCAAAATCATGTAATTTTAGCGTGATTTCTATGGCAATTGATAATTTTAGATCATGGAGATTGATATTTTCCTATTTTTATATGAAATTTCATTTACTTTTATATTTCCAAAGTAACCAATAGTTTTACAGGTATATTTTAGAATGTATATCATTTAGTAGCCAGGGGAGCCACAATTATGATAATTTTTTTTAATTAAATGTCTTCTAAGAGCATTTGGCCTTTAAAGGAAAGCCAATTCTTCTATTCTTAAATACTGTGCTGAAATCAATATATTAGGTTTTATAGAAGCCTAGGTAGCTGACATTTCCTATCTATACTCTCAGTGGGGGAAGAAAAGTTGGCTTCCAGTTTGAGCTGTATTTTCCAGATGCTAATTCAGGTATATTCAAATAATTTGGGCCCATTCAGATTATAAAAACAAAACAAAAGAAAAACATTTTAAACACATTCTGGAACAAATTATTTTTCTGGTTCTAGTTTTAATCTAGTCAGGTATAGAAATATTTTTTTTATCAAAAAAGAAAGTAGGAGAACATATACAATTATTATGTGTCAATTAAAAGTAAAATTTAATAAGAAAGAGGGGAGGAAGGAAGGAAGGAAGGAAGGAAGGAAGGAAGGAAGGAAGGAAGGAAGGAAGGAAGGAAGGAAGGAAGGAAGGAGAGAGAGATAAAAGAAAGAAAAGAAAATCAAACACAACTTGTGCAGACATCAATGGTCTAAAACCAAAAGTGATTAGAATGTGGCTTTACAGCATCAAGAAGGAGAACCAAATTTTGCTTTAAAGTGAGGAACTACAGATCAGTGATATATCCTTTTCCCCATTTCTCACTCTTTTTATTATTTGCCATAAATAACAAAATCTAGAGGTTATAATCCTAGACTCTATGACAACCTACATGATCAACATAAGTAACTCTGGACCAGATCAGGCAAGATCAGTGGTGGAGCCTTATTACGTATTGAGGATTTAGCATCCTAGTCACCAAAGTTGTAAAAGAAAGACATTGAAATTTGACATAGACATGATTCTTGGACAATAGAAACTCTTGGAGATGGGCCAAGCCAGCCTTTTTCAGTTCCTTCTGTAAACCTTATGAAGAGCTAAATTAGATCACAGATAAGGACGACAGTCAAAAACTATATATGATAAATACAGGACTATAAATATCGAAGAAAAATATTTACATATAATTTGACATACCTACAATATGTAGAGATATACGGTTCAACCACATATATTTATGATATCATCCTAATCTTTTTTGAACATGGCTAACCACCTCCTGTTGCAATTTTCTACTTGACTTTTATATTTCTGAGTAGAGGTACTTCCAAAGATATTAAAATATATTCTCACTGTTGGTAGCTTTATGGAGATGAAAATCTTGCCAGCTAGTTTTGTTTGTAATGTAACTGAGCAGCTCATGGGGCCACAGTGTTATTACATATGGTTTATCTTTTTTTGTATTGTACCCTTTAGTTTAGAGAAACAAGAGGTGATTATAAGGATATTGTGAATAACAAAGTTAAAGAAAGATCCAAGTTTCATTTTCTGCTTCTTTATTGGGGGGTGGCGATGTATCACTTGGTTTTCTCCCATGCTGAACTCTTTTCATCACCTAAACACGTGAGCTTTGGTAAAATTTACTAATACATATCCATAGATACAGACTACGAGAGTATGCCTTTTGAGAGGAACAATATAAATAGCTTTTATAGTTCTGTTAACGAAAAAGCATTGGGAAGGATTTGCCAGAGAGCTAAATCTAGATGACTTGCATCAATATTTGATTAGATACATTAGCTGGTCTAACTCTCAAATGATCAGAATAAACATGATTATATCTCAAAAACATGGTATTAAGGCATTGTTGGATGCTTGAGTGTTTGTGAGCAGGGGTTTCATTACCTACAGAATAATGAAGTGTTCCTTCCTGACTGAAAAAGACCATCATAGCTTCAGCTGATGTGCTACATCAGAAATAGCTTTAGAATTCCAAGTTTGAATTAGGCTTGGTGTTCAATCTCAGTCTATGAATTATAGATTACAGATAGCAAATGACCATTGAGATTTTTGGTTCAAGAAAAATCAAAGAAGAGCAAAATTAGAAATAATTTAAAATTTGAAATCTGTCTTTAAAAACTTGATGGATTAGCAGTTATATGCCACATAATTACAATGTCTGCAGAGAAATCAAACTCAAAATGAATAGAAAACCAAACAAAAATTGCACGTGCCTAAGTTATATTTGAAAGTCTCAGAACACATTTGTGACACAAAAAAAATGGAAGGATTTCTTTTGTTTGTACATGCTATTTGAACGTTTGAGTTGTTCATTTTCTGTTTGTTTTAAAAGCCAAGTCTCCTTCATAGTCAAAAGCTCATCGAACTATTGATGCAGATTCAATCTTATTTGATTGGTACATAGTAACATAATGGTGATATTAATTATTAAGTTTTGGTGTTCAACAACTTTCAGTAAATCAAAATGATGATCATTTGCTGAGTTCTAGAAGATCTGCTTATTTTATAATAGAACAATCTTTGGCTTAATTGGTACTTCTTAGTAATAAATAATATATTAAAAGAATTAACTTCCATAAGCATATATGAATGTCATAATATGTTAATATACATATATACATATACATATAGCATACATGTGTATATGCGCACACATCTAATAGCTTCATCTTAGGAAATAGAGAGACACACACATGAATGTAGAAATATATTTAGTATTTACAAAAAGGTCATGCAAATTCTAAGTTCAATTAGCAAATGTCCATTGCTGCTAACTTTTGTTTAATTCTACATTTATGATAATTGCCAAGGACCCTCACAAATTTGATGTAGCTTGAGAAAACATTTAGCAACTGAGTGATTTGTAATGAACTGCGGTACGAGTTTTCTTAGTTAAACTTAAGAGCAACACTAAGTCTTCATCAGGGAAAGAGTGAATAAAAAGATTTATGTTCAAATCACATGTTTTAAACATTCCTGCTAAGTGCTAGTTTGCTCTTTGGTGTTTAGCTTGAAATTTAAAGCACTAAGGATTAAAAGGATTACAACATAATCTTAAATAATCCTAAATGTCATTTACAGAGAGATAGTTGTAATAACTAAATAAAACCATGTTAAAGGATGGCAGTATTGTCAGGCAGCATCCATACATAACACAAGTGCTGTTCCTGTCAACATCTTCTCTTTCCTGGCTGGGTACATTAGGCGTTTACAAAGTCCTTCAATAGGAAGTGCAACTAAGGAAATGGCTGCAAAATAATAATTAAATACTTATTTAAAACAATTTTTTTTTTTTTTTAGCTTTTAATATCTTCTTGTTTCAACATTGAAGGAAAGTTTTCACTTAGATGTTCTTTCTTCCTTCGAACAGAAGGTTCTCTGGTTAATTATTTTTGAGGCGTAGGGAACCAGCGGTCTCAGGTATGGCCACATGTGGCCTTTCAGGTCCCCAAGTGTGGCCCCTCCACTGAATCCAAACTTCACAGAACAAAATGTTCTGTGCAATCTGGATTCAGTCGAGGGGCTGCACTTAAGGATCCCGAAGGCCACATGTGGCCCAAGGCCATAAGCCACCGGCCACCCCCCCACACACACCCCGGTAGTAAATATATGAGAGTCCCAAAGCACTATAATTAATTCCATGCCATTTAGTTTAGTACTTAAATATTCCTTACTTAAATATTCTGTCATGTAAATTGCTTTTGTCTCCCCAAAGAAAATATAAAGACAGAAACTATGTCCCATAGTGCCTTCTACTTACTAAACCAGAGGACTGGACACTTTTTAGCTCAATAAATTGTTACTTGTAAGGCTAGAGTTGTATTTCTTCAGAAAAAAAAATGAAATAAAAGCATAAAAAAATTCACTTTTGTGAAACATTTTACAAAATTATACTCACAATATAGGCCTTTTACTCTAATTTCCATGGTATAAACAGGTAGTAAAGAATAAGTTAACTATCTATTTCCTCCATCCTTTTCATTACAAGGTATAAGACAGTAGATAATTATTCATTTAAAATAATTAAATCATTTCCACTCTAAAGATCTACCTTTTCTCATAGCCAGGTAGTGACTAAGCCTCAATTTTCCTGAGTTTCCTTTAAAATAAAACGTTTAAGATGTGCCTTGGGCTCTCCTATGGATTACATGCTTTAAGTAGGCTAATTCTACCAATTAATGAATTGTGGCTGATTAAGAATATATCAATTGCCTGCTTGAAAGGCAGAAAATATTAAATGACTCAAGAAGATGAAAGTTTCTTCACCTCCCTGCACTACCAATTTATAACTTCAACAAACATCATGGTCAAATTTCCTGGATTTTAGATTTTTTTTTCAATATATAAAAAATATCTCTCAGGGGACA